CGATAGCGATTACAAACTAGCCGTTAGGTAATTGTTAATTTCAATTTGTTTATTATCTTTTTTGTTCTTTTCCAATTTATTAATTTTTTTAATCCAGCTGCTATGAAAATAACTGAATAAATTGCATCTCAGAATATTGGGGCATCCTCTTTATTGGCGTAGACACCGCTTACTTATAGACGAGTTTACAACAGCGCGCCATCCGTTCTTGCTTTTCACTCTTTGACGCCAATGGAGATTCAAAACGAAGCCAGCTCCTTCTCCACCTGGTCTTTCCAACGGAGTGGAGGTCTTCCTACTCCTCTGATTCCCCCAGCGAGAACTGCGTCGAATACTATCAGAGCTGGAGTGTTTTCGTCCATTCCGACGTCCATTAATTTTCTGAACTACAAGTATGTTAATGTCGTCGTATGGTAGGTACATAAAAAATCTATGCATAAAAACAGGCTTGCGAACTTTTGATGCCTTCAAAACAACAGCAAAGCTGACTTGGTATGAAACTCCTTGTCTCAAGATAGATCTGCTTTAAAAGCATTTTTCAATAGATACCCTCAATATAAAATGATCAGGATATAGTATATTAAGTTTACCACGTAGTTTATAGCACCCAGAAGAAACCATCGGACACCGAATTAAAATATATATACATATATATAAATGATCAGCATGACAAGCTGAGTCAATTTAGATATGTTCATCTGTCTGCTTTAGCATATAGCTGTCATACAAACCGAACGACGAGATATCTTCAGAAAACTTTGCATGGATTATTTACAAAGACAAGGGTATAATCTCCGAAAAAGTGGTTCAGACCGGACCACTACAGGATATTACTAAGAAATTACCAACTTTTTCGTGATCACACCAAACCATAGAAGATGCTGCTGGAAGGATTTTGAATCAAATCGAAGTGAATCACAATTTTTTACTTGAACGCTAAAAATTTTATTGTGTAATATTATGTTATGTTCCGGAGGCCAAATAAAAGGATATTGAATTTCGCTCCCAAACTAAATTATATAAAAAATCAGCTTATAAAACTAAATTTATAATAAAAAAAGACTCCAGTAGACAACAGAAAAATCAACTGATCTATTTTTTGTATATTTTTTTTAGTTCACATATAAAAAATCGAAATATAACTAATGATGTAATTGCACTTCGCAATTTCTCACCAAAACTCAAACATATGTATATATTCATGCAGCGCGTTGATTACTAAAACTTTAAAACTTTCCTAAGAATAATTGAGTTTTCATAATTTTTTTTAGTACAGCCGTTGGAGAAAGCACTCCTTATATAGAAACTTTGAAGTCAGCTAATGATCCTGTCATTAATTACGACATTTCAATTTTACGTTACATATAAAAAAAAAAGTATTATAAAAGTGCCAATAAAATATTACATTCTTGCAACGTGTGCAATCTTAAGCACCACTGCCTATTTTAAATTGTAAAAATCATTCTGCTTTAAAGCACTTAATATCGTCTAAAGAGTGTAAAAAAATGTTAATTTCAGTTTGTCTTGGTAATTTATCATTTCAGTTCGGCTGCGTTTAAGCTCGCACCGCCAACTATCTGCTTAAATGCTAAAAACATAAGCACACACGCAAGATAAATGATGAGAAAAAATTAAATCATCAAAACACGCCACCAAAAAATTACTAAATCTTTAACTCCGAATTCGAATCGACCCATACCTTCTATATACTCGCATACATATGTATATTTGGTTTTGTTGTTTTACGTGTATCTACTTTCTGAGCCGCTTTGTTTGTTGGCGCGGTTAAACGCTTTAATTAAAACCAATGCGCATGTGTAACTTCGTTCGTTATAAGCCACGTTTAATTTTTGTGGCTTCGAGCTAAAATCCATTTGTATACATATATGCATAGTATGTATGTACACGTTTTCACATTTTCATATTTTTTCCCAGTGCTAATACATTTTATGTTGTCTCTGTTATAGTGGCTTGATCCTAGTCAAAGCTGACGCGTTGCTTTGAACTTGGCCGCTTCGATTGCTAAATGATTGATGTGGTATTAATTTTAATGTATGGTATATATGCCACAGCGCCAACAAACGCGCACCGGCAGGCTTGATGTAACTCTTCACTATGTTCATTCATATGTATGCCCGTTGTTGTAACTTTAGGCCACTACTAATAGGCCAGATTTTGTGAAATACTTCTTGTTAAAAGTATTTTCGCCATAATTTGACTGGAAGCTTACAAGTCTTTTAGTAGCGTGTAAAGCGCCTGCAGGCCTCTTTACACATGGCTTTGTCCAGCTACAAACGCAGCATACCGCTTACCTGAGCCATGCTATACAAGCATGAACATGGTAACAGGCACTGATACGTTCTATTCACTACTGATTCCACTGAAGTGGCAACTGGCAGTTCACTACTAATTTGCATACTCGACACTTGCGTGTTAGCGTTAGAGCATCTGGCGACTATGCCGCACACATACCTTCATATAGCTGTGTGCAGTTGTTATTTTTTTCATTTTTGTGGCATTTTCGAACTCAATATCGTTATTTAGCCCATTTCTTATAATATTTTTCCGTCTTTTGCTTATTTAAAATTTAATTAGTCCGTTGTCATAAACGCGATTAATATTACTTTAGTCGCTGTGGTTGCGTCGATGCGCCTCCTCGCCAAGCATACTAATTTGCCTTCAAACATAATCATGACTTATTGGTGTTATAGTTTCTCCGATTAGTTATTTTCATTGCCCCCATGTCCTCCGTAGTCGCACTGCCGAGGTTAAGTTACTTCGCTGCTCCTATAATTTGTGTTAGCGCGTTGCGGCATATAGCCTATAATAATCGCTAGTCGCATTTACGTATTTAGATATATATTTTCACACAAACTTTTTATTAATATGCCCCAAAAGCTACTTAAACTGCAATTTGCTAATCGATTTTTTTTTAAATACATACTCCGCACATTAATTAGCGCGAAGCGCAAATGTGCGATCTATATTTATAGTAAAACTGTTTTTCGTTCGTTTCAGCGCGCATACTTTCATTATGTAATTAAAATAACTACAAAAACTACAAAAATCATATAACACTATGAGTGATGATTTCTGCTGAAAATCAGAGCAAGCCGCTTCCAAACCTAGTATTAGCGCTGCAGTATCCGTTTCAGTGAAATGCTTCTAGCTATTCAAACTTAATGACTTCTTTACAAACGTGTGATTTGGAAATATTTAGCGGATACATGAAAAGCTTGTCGTTACTTCCTTTCTCTAAGCAAATAGTTAATGATAGTTAACTATTTTCCCCAAGTGTACCTTCAGGAAACTGTCTGTGGAAGTAAAGTTATTTTATACATATTATTTCCCCCCCAGATAGTAAGGTTTTCTCTACACCAGTACTCTCGACATTCAGAAAGAAGCTGGTATGCATACTTTTGAGAAAATAGTTATGTAACCACTGTGACTGAAAGAAGTGCTGCCTTATTAGTGTATATTTATTCTAATAATTAAGATCTATATTATTCACCTTCATATATAATATTTTATTGGAATTACTGTGGATAAAGATCCATTCCAATATACATAGCTATCTTCTATTCGCCAATCTCTTGCTAGTAATGTGCGTAGTTTGATATTAATAAAGTTTTTCCCATACCTATTTATCCCACATAGCAAAAGCCTATAGAACAGAGTTTCTAGCAGTGTTTGCTTATAATGCATTGTGGTCTGTTTTCATCGCTTTTATAAACATCTCTTACTTTAAGGGAATACATGGGTTTACGGGCTTTCAGAAAATCGAATATGTTTTTATTATCCTATTAAATTCTACAACACCTCTAAAATACTGTTCTCAATTTTCAAGTTGATCCGAGTAATAGTTTCGAAGATACAGCCTTGAGAGCCGGTCGAGGCAAAAGTTCGACGTCTTTCAACGCGTTTTTCTCGAAACAGTGTTTTTGAAGTCGGTTGGCAAGATTTCTCAAGAACTACTCAGTCGATCTTTATGAAATTTCACACAGGTCTTTGAGATATAATTCTTAATGACTTGGATGAAGGTTTTTTTTTTCGATTGCAACTGTTTGAAAATGTCGCGAAATTTCCACTGAAGTTTCCTTTTTTTTTTTTGTAAAAATGACTGCCCAAAATCCAATTTTCAGTTTTTTCTTCGTCCAAGTTCTAAGTTAAGGTTTTAAATAAAACACGAATTTTTTTACTTTAAATTATCCTGTAGGGAGCTATCCTGCCATCGTGAACGCATTTTTTCCCAGGGGTTACCGGAAATGGCGTCGCAATGAGTGAGTTAAAAATTTTTTTTTCCAAAAATTTCAGAATTTCTTTGTTAATAGCGTAGTGTTGTAATAATATAAAAATTTAATAAAATAAAATAATAATAATAATTTATACTCATAGGGTTGCAAAAATGTATTCAAAAATTTTCCGAAGTTTATTTGGTTATTTTAGTGTTTTTTTTTTTTACTCAATTATGTTTGTTATAGAGATTGATTTCAAGATTTCCAATGTACATATATACATATCGCCAAATAAAAGGCGGAGGAAAAACAATATAATAGAAAGCACTTATATTGAAACCAAAATTGAGTTTTGGTTATAAAATGATAATATATCAGTTATTATATCTGGCAGTTTTTGGTTTTCTTTTATGATACGCTGTTTTGTATGAATGTGACAATATACATTCTTTAATACTATGATCAGTAAAGAAAAAAAAATTTATGGTACTTGTAGGAGCTTCTCTCGAAAGAATTTGTACACACCTTGATATTAAAAAAATTCTGAATTTTCTTGAGCAGATTTTTGATAACAGAATCATAATTGAATATTTGGCTGCCTACCTAGAAAAGGCAGCTTGCATATCATATGTTTAGAAAATATGATGTTTTGTAACTTTCATTTGGTTTAAGTAATATTATTCAATTTTCGGTTATCTATATAAGAAATGTATGTACGAATTATATGCCTTTAAAAACCGTATCTAAACAACTACAATGACTTACCGGATTAACTTGCGGCTTTTGCAGATGCGTGGCGATATTACCGATATTCATGCCCATAGCGGGTATTTGTGAGCCGTACAACTGTCCGGCCGTCGGTGTCATGTCCGTTAACATTTTAGTTGCTTTCTGCTCACTGCAGCGATTATCGTTGCCAAATGTTTTTGTTTGATTATTTAGCTGTTATTTAATATTGCCGCGTTGAAACAAACACTGGAAAGCAGAATTTATTATGACAAATTTGTTTGAGTTGCACTACAGAGTTGCGGAGGATTATGTGAATGCTTTGAGGGGACCGAAATCAATCGTTATTGTTATTTCTTTTTATTTTGTGAGAGAATTTAGGAAGTTGTCACATGCCACGAGTGATAAAGCAACACCCTGGCGTAGCAATCATCAATCATACTTTTCACTTACAATGGAATTCTGACATTTTTGTTTTCTAGTAGAATTTGCAAAATTTCACATTATCACTTCACTTTATCTAATGTTCGCACGAGTTTGCCTATGCGTGTTACCTATGTCTTCTTTGCCAGTATTTGTGGTGATTTGAATATTGAAAATTTATACACTGTTATATAATTGTTTAAGAAAATTTTTTTTTGGACTATGCCTTCAGTTTTTCTTGCATATTTTTTGTTACTTATTACACAGATTTTTAACACATTCCACTTCCTCTTGCACAACAATCCGTCTAATTTAGGGTCCACTACTGGCAACGCCGTCGCTCAATAACACAATACAAATGGATTTTTTTCTACCACAACTTTAAACAATGCAACACAAGCAACGCTTCCGATTGCGAATTTTAGTTTTTATTGTCCTTTTTGTAATTTTTGCCAATGAACTGGGCAGTTATGTCTTATTGTGTTACTTTTATAATAAATTTCTTTTAAAAATTGACAAAAAATTCCTATTGTGCTTGGTGGGACCTCGCTTATTGCCTTTTAGTGCCGCTGTTGTGTGCCTTTCCGTCTGTTAATCCGACAAAAAGTGCCAAACCGTTGGTTTGTTGCCTGGGAATACCTATTCTGTGTTGGCTTATCGACGCAGGATCTTTACAGGCGATTTATTGATGATTTCCAATGGCCACGCGCAATCAGCTGAGTCAGACACATACTTATCGGAATAATTGTTAATAAAATTCGTATTTTGCAAAACTGTTTTCGAAAACTGCTTGTACGAATTAACGTTTTGATTTTTTGTTAAAACTTTAGTTCCTTTCACGCGTTAGATAACGATCACTGGCTTTTCGCAAAATTCATACGCAGCTCGCTATTTGGTGTGTTCAAGCCGTCCCAACAACTGTCACTAGTACTGCTGCGGCTGCCATTCGAACGCGTATACCAACTAGCCACACCGGCCGGCCCACTGTGAACGCAGGGCACTTGTTTGGTTTTTTTTTTTTTTTCAATTTTAATTTTTTTTCTTACTATTTTTCTTTTGCTTTTATCGTCGTTGTTTTTGTTTACGCCTTTATCGGAGATAAGTTGTTGGAAATCCACTTGCGCGTTTGTTAATTCGCAAAAAGAATCCGCGCAAATATAAACGGGCGTCGTATCTGTACGTACAAATGCTGGTGACTGTTCTGCCCGCTGCGGCACAAGCGAAAAAAGCTCTCTAAAGTCACACACAAAAACACAAAGGCAACAACACATAAAAACACAAAGTAATGAACATAAATAAACACACACACTCACGCGCATACACTTTGTAACGATACCGTGGTTAATGCTGGCACCCCAACGAATGAATGTTGCGCAAATGAAACAACAAATGGCACAACCAAAGCCAATGAGCCAACCAAACGGATAAGCAACAGGGAGGAAAACAAAACTACCAAAAACAGTAGATAGGCGTAGTATGTGTATATTTGTTATTTATTTTTTTTGCTTATTTGCTGCTGTTCTGTGTATCTACGGCTTAAGCACACAACAAACAGTCATTGTTGATGGTTACGCTTGTCGTTCACTCGCTATGCGCTCTACAATGAATGTATTGTGTTGGCTCGTATCGGATTTGAATAGCTCGCTACTACACTGCCAAGAAACCGGTGCTCGCTACTGCCGAGCGAAAAACACTTCGACCAGTCAAGCAAGGCGCACATACGCAACACATAATAGAAGCAAGGCAGGAGATAGCTGTAGCTGGTAGTGGTGGTGGCGTTTGATGAAGCATGGCAGCAGGCGGCTGGTTGTTGGCAAAAGTGGTTGGGACGCGTCCAGCCATTCATCAGCACACAACGGCAAATATGTATATACACATACATAAGTATTTACTGTGCAGTAGCGCCACTGCTGATATAGAGTTTGAGAGAGCGCACTCGCGGAGAGACTACAAAAATAACTAACGACTGCATCACGGTTGACAAACTAAGCAAGTTTTTTACATTGCGAGGTTTTTAAATTATTGCTTTAATTTTTTTTGTTCTTCGCAAATTTCAAACTTTACTAATAGTTGGGGCGACTGGATTTTGATGCTAGCAAAAATAAATTTCCAAAAATTAGTAAGAATTAAACGAAAAAAATGCCGAATAATTTGTTAGAATTAATAGCAATGAACTGCCTAAACAATTTGCTATGGTCATTGTACGTATACTAAAATTTAGACCGCAAGTATTAAAAATTTTAATTTTTACTTAATCGAGTATGTTTGTATACACTGACAACTTTTATGATCTTTGAACGACATATTTTATTTTAATTCCGCATTAAAATATAGCTCACAGTTTCATATGTAAATATATACATACATATTTGCTTACTAAAAACTTATAAATTTTCACACAAACTTACAAAAATATATTTCAAATTAACTGATATTTGATTTTTTTGCAATTATAAATCCACGACTGCCGCTCAAACTCTCTCAACCAGTTTTTCAAACGACATCCTTCATGCTAGTTTCAGATTTTCCAAAAACTACTCAGAGAAATTGTGCAGTCAAGCATTCATTCATAAAATTTGAGTAGCATGTTTCTTTCATTTCCCCTCCAAAATCAACTCCTGAGAGTGCAAGTGTGTTGGTGGCACAACTTTTTTATGTAGTGGTATGAAAACAAGCAACGTCAATAATTACAAGCACTTTACAGACTCATCAAGTTATCTCCCTTACTCGCTCTTAGCTCCAGGTAGCGCTATGAAACTCATTTACGACACTTTCTTGCCTTCTCACTTCAACGTGTTTCAATATTGCAATGTCCCATTGTGAGAAGCATCCACCAATTGGCTGCTTGTTTAATTCCAAACCATGCGGTAACCTATAATTAGTGCGATGGCCGCTGCGCAACAGAGATGGCACACTTCACCACTGCATCACTTCAACGTATTTGAGCAAAAAATAAAAGAGCATCGACAATGGCTCGTGTGCCATATAGCACATTTTTTCTAAACCAAGAATACGCTATTTGTTATACAAATTTATGTACTTATATACATATTTACATATATATATGTATGTAGAAGATACATTATAATATCCTGTAAATTCGTCAATTTATTTACGTATAAACGCTTTCTACCAAATACTCTCCTATTTATGGGAGCTCTTCCGGTGTTGAGTAAAAGAATTTTTTGAGAAATATATTTATATAAGTGCATATGTACATATGTTGGTGTCTTACATTTTTCCGTAAAACCTATTTTTTATTTTATGATAACTGCTCATTATTTAGAGGTTTTCGGATATGTCAAGGTCATTTTTATACAATTCAAAAGGTATTTACGTTCCACAAAAAGAAAGCGTTTAACTGTTTTAAACATGCTAATTAAGTACAATTTTAATTTTTTCAAATATAAATAACATTTTTTTTCTAATTATAATAGTCCACATTTATTAACAATTCCTTGCGACACTTTCACAAACATAATACAAGTCTTTATGAAAACTTTCTAGGAGTATATTAAAACTTACACAAAACAAAAAAAAAAAATAACTGCAAAATAATTTGTTTATAATTATAATTTAATAAGTTGATTATAATTATAATTAAATGAACTCATAACATACTTAATAATCCACTTCCTCGGGAAACTTTTAGCTGAGCGCAGAACACAGAAACTAGACTAAAATTAATAAACAGATTATACTTTAAAAGCTCATAGTTATATAAAATATATATACATACATATATGTATATATATACATTTATATGCTTTCACATATTTTTAAAGAAATAGATCTGTCTCTTATACACATCTAGATGTTATACATACATATATGTATATATATACATTTTTCGTAAAAGTCCCGAATTTACCAAATCTACACAAAAAAATAAATAAATTATTAAACTCATAACTTGAAAAAATTATTCTGTTTTCTATAATGAAACCGTGGTATACTACATATGATATATATGAATATACAACAAAACCAGCAACACATACCATAAAAGAAAGTGTTTTCAGGGCAAATCACGCCAATCAATTCCTTGCACCAGTGTAAACGGCATAAAGCAGCACCTCATTCAATTCAACTCCCCGCAACCACACACAATTGAAAGCGAGGCAATTGTCAGTTGAGTAACTCATTCACTCCCCACTCACTCAGAATACACGACAGCATTGGCGAGGGCATACAACTCTCGGGCACGCCAGGTTAGAAGTGTAGCGCCAGCAATGAACCCTCAAACCAACACAACTACGCCCAAATGGCACTCCTTTGCCTCTACCTCCAGCAACAATGCCATCATCGTCACCATGGTCGCGGTCGCTGCCATCGTCTACACCATCTCCGATGCGGCTACCAACGCCCGACTGCTCAGACGAATTGAATGGGCTGCTGAGCTGGGATGAAAATGCATGGCAAGGCCACAGCCGCCCCCAGAGCGAAATACTGCATCCTTATTCATACCATATATACTAAGTTACATGCTTACGTATAGATATATACATATATACGTATGTACCTCGCACAATATAGTATGTGCTTTTAAGAGCGTGTGCGCGTTCGCTCCCACAGAACCTACAGGTTGTGAGGTTGGCCGAGTGGGCGTAGTTTGCGTGTCCGCTAGAATTCCCCGCAGTGACTGTTATATACATATATGCTATGTCTATGCTGATTTGTTCTCGTTCTCGATGAATGCTGTTGTAGCTAATCTACTGTGGTGCACGCGCTATTATGGCATGTGGCATGCCACGGGTGAAAAAAACACCGCAGATGGAAAAGGAATAAAATACCGAAACTTTTTGAACGACGCTGACGGATGATGGTATACAAAAAGTACCGAAAACACCGTTGGCTTTCTAATACCTAAACACATAAGCAGCAGGAGTACGGCTATGCGGTGGAATTTCACGCTGCTGCATCGCCCGTCGTGTTTTATGCGCTCTTCTGACATGCGTCAAAATATTGTTGTAGTCGCGCCGCAAAAAAGTAGAAAACTGTGAATTCCAGCGGTATAAATGACGTAAATGGCATTTATACAAACATAAATAGGTATATGTATGTAAGTATCTACAAAAGAGTGGGTATATGGGCTTATGAAACCACATGGCTGTAATGATATTGTAATAAGTGCATAGATTCGCAGATATATATTAATGTGACGACTATTATTAGGGTAAATGATACATCTGCATATTAAAAATATTGCTTCAATCATTCCTGAAGTTTGCCAAGAAGTTCGTAAAAGCGAGAAGCAATCGGCTGACATCGGACGACTGAAGGCCATTCCAACGGATCCAAGAAATCAAGAATAAGGGTCGTTTTCTAAAAGATTAGTTACAGAAAAAAAGGGTCTTGGTTAATTTAACTAGAACTTAACTGACAGATGACTGCTAACCGGACGTTAAGAAAATAGACCTAAGTATTTTATATAGCCTTTTATGCTATAAAAAATCTGCCTCTGAAAATTATTAATGCTTCAGTGCAGCCTCAAGTAACATTTTTCCTTGTTTTGTCTTCAAAAAAGTTCATTATATTACAAGAAGGAACTGAGCTGTAAGCATATAAAAAATGAAAATAAAGATTATGATTTTGTTACTAAAATTTTGGTAGATAAAACACACGACAAGCTTTCTTAATTCGACGTACTCTTCTATTCCTCCTACCATGCGAATTCTGTATAATATATGTTTATATTTACGGAAGTGGTCCAATAAAGAACTTTTTACAGTTTTTTCTATTTGGATGACCTTTTTAGCCCGAAACGACAATGTTTCAATCATTTCCACAAAACTTCATACACTTGTTTCTTTGCACCCAAGGCGGTTAGTATTACAAATGGGCAGAATCGGTCCACAAAAAATAATTAATCGAAAATTAATTATTTTGCCATAAATTACCTAAATCGCGAATTAAGATACAAAACTGTAATTTGGTACAGGAGATTGCGGAAGTGAGGGTCACATATGGGCTGAAGAATTTTAAAAATTGTTAAATTTGTATGAAATCGGCTGATAACCCCGCCCTTTCCCCATATAAAGATTTTGTTAAAAACTACTGCGTTAGTGGTGTTATCTAGGATGGCACAGGAGGGCTTTATTGGAACCAGGGTCAAAGATGAAAACCCATATCTCAAGACCTACTAGACCAATATCCATCAACCATATGATTTTTTCACTTTCGACTATCCAAAACTAGTATTAATGAATATAATCGTGTGAATAGTGCGCTTAAAGTAGGCTACCTTTGACGATTATTTGTCAAAATCGGACCACAACTATTCAAGCCCTCATATACAGAATATTTGGACACCAGTCCCTCCAGCGAACATTTTACAGAAAATAATGTTCAATTCTTTGCTGATAGCTTTATATCTACATATATGACAAAAGTGATTTCAACCGAATGAAGCTTCCGTCAACCGCCATATACCTAATACAACGATTTTCGAACTTCTGCTTTACTTTGTA